TCAAAGAAGAGGTAGGCCAGATTTGGTCTGTGTACCTGTTCATAGTTTACCAACCTTGTTCTAAAATGATCAATTCTATGTTTCCAGAATACCTAGAGAAAAGATGAAAGAAACATTGAAATGAAAAGGGAGGAGGTGAGGAGAGCTATTTGGGAGACCTTTGCACTAATCCAGGTTGACGTTGGTACACTGGAATGAGCAATTGAGAGTCTTGATTAAGAAATGTGACAAGGTAGCCTGGTCATAGAGCTAGGCCATCAGAAACTAACCTGGAGTCATGAGAAGAAGGGTGGGACGGAGGTAGAGATTCAAGCAGGGAAGAAGGGAATGATGCAGTAGTGCCCCCTTGGCCATGGTTTTGCTTTCTGCAGTTTTAGTTACTCATGGCCAACTGGGGCCTGAAACTATTAAATGAAAAAATTTCAGAAATACATAATTCATCATTTTTTAATTGCATGCTGTTCTGATAGCATAAGAAATCTCGAGCTGTCCTGCCCTGTCCTCCCAGGACCTGAACGGTCTGTTTGTCCAGTGCAGCCACACTGCACACACTACCCACCCTTTAGCAGCTGTCTCACTCATCAGATCGATTGTTGTGCTATCACTGTGCTTGGGTTCAACTCACCCTCATTTTAGTTAAAATGGCCACACAGCACAAGAGTAGTGATGCTGACAATTTGTACGGGGTGGGGCAAAAGTAAGTTTACAGTTGTTTGTATGGAAAATAATACAGTAATAAATAAATAATGCTACAAGAATAAACTGTGTTCCACATACTCTCAACCATAAACCTACTTTTGCCCACCCTGCTTCTTTTAAATGTGAAGGTGAATACAGCACAATAGGTATTTTGGGAGAGAGAGAGAGAGAGACCACATTCATATAATTTATTAGAGTATATTGTTATAATTGTTCTATTTTATTATTAGTTGTTGTTAATCTCTTAATTAAGTATGCCTTAGTAATACATTCATGATGCCTTATTTAATAAATTCATTAATAACATCTAATTTATAAATTAAACTTTATCATAGATATATATGTATAAGAAAAGTTATAGTAAATATAGGTTCAATACTATGCATGGTTTTAGGCATTCACCAGGGGTCTTGAAATGTCCCCTGCAGATAAGGGGGATCTACTGTACAATCCTAGAGGGTAAAATGTATTTCCTGAGACATGAGGGATGTGGCTGGGGCTGAGGTCAGTTCCATGGGGATAGACAGCTGTACAGAGACTTAGAGTTAGTGACTGAGCTTGGCACTCGAGGAATGGATGCTGTCAGAGGAAGAGATGGTTTTCTATTGCTCTTCAGTGGCTTGAAGAAGAATCTTAATGGTGGCCATTACTGACTGAACACCAAAAATCTTCCCTCTTATCCCAGATTTTATAAATCCCTGTGTTCTTTAATAGTCTTAAGAGAAGAGAAAGTGTCTTTACAAACAAACTGAGGTGGACTTTCCACTCTCTGGGTGGGTAGATCCTGAGTCAGATTAAATTTCAGAAAATGTGATATTTTCTGAATTCTAGTGTTGTAGACAAATTCACATCAATGACTAATTGAATATTTGAATTTTTGCTAAAAATATTTTAACTGAGAGATTGCACTAAATCTCTGCTTATTGATTTTGTTAGTTGGCCTATACTACAGGATAAGCATACTTTATCCTTAACCAAGTCAAAAATTCCAACTACATATAGCAGCAAAGAGGCATTACTGTCATCTTGAACACTTACTTAGTCACTGTGTGTAAAGTGACAAAGGGAAGATCACTTGGTATAAACATGATCCATACCGCCCTAGCCAGCATGGCTCAGTGTTAGGAGCGTTGGCTTGAGAACCAAAGGGTCATGGGTTCAATGCCCAGTAAAGAGCACATTATCTGGGTTGCAGGAGGCAACCAATCAATGTCTCTCTCTCTCACGGTGATGCTTCTCCCTCTCTCTCTTCTTTCTCTTTTTCTCTCCCTCTCCCTTCCTTCTAATCTCTCTAAAACTCAATGGAAAAAATATTCTCAGGTGAGGATTAACAACAACAACAACAAAATAAACAACATGATCTATCTTGGAAAAAGAAACTCCAAGCTTGGGTCCTGCACCCTTTGAACCAAAACAGAATCCACCCATGTGTAATATGGTCTCTAAATGAAGTGTTTATATTTGAAGCACAGCATGGTGCCACAATGAATGTAGAATTCTTTTGTAAGATAATTTATGAAGCAGAAAAGAATTCATAGACATAACTAAGAGAATGCTTACTATAATGCATTTGCAACTTTAACTCAATTTGTAGTATTCATTATATTAAAGTTAAATTCAAAAGGCTTTATATGAATAAATTCTTTCTGAGATTTTTTTCAAAGGGGCTATTCAATGAAGTATTGCTAATGGCCACTTAATTATCCAACTAAGGCACAGATATAGTACTGTGGAAAGTAAAATAGTTTGCTCAAGGCTACTCTATTAATCTAAGCCCTGAAAAATAAATGGAAATCTTAAGAGTCCTATCTTAGCTGTCATCTCTACCATTATTATTGTCTCTGTTTTCTTTCCTACAATTTATATGAATATATATGCACCTTTATCCTTTTGAGTATTTCTTTTTTTTTTTCACTGAGATAAAAACCTTTTATTGAAAAATAACAGCAAAATTTACCTTACATAACTTATTAAATCCAGTTTAATTTAATAAACATTTAATACAGTTTAGTTATTTGTTCCCTTGTAGGCAACAAGTAAATACTAGAATTGATAAATTAATTCAGTAAAGTAGCAGGATACAAAATAAATATCCAGAAATCAGTTGCATTTTTATACATCAATAATGAACTATTTGAAAGGGAAACCAAGTAAACAATCTCATTCACAATTGCTTCAAAAAGAATAAAATACTTGGAAATAAATTTAACCAAGGATGTAAAAGACATGTACTTGAAAATTTGTAAGAAACTTAAAAAAGAAATTAAAGTAGATACAAATAAGTGAAAGCATATACTGTATTCATGGGTAGGAAGAACTGACAGCATTAGAATGTCCATATTATCCAAAACAATTCACAGATTCAACACAATTCCTACCAACATCCAATGACCTATTTTACAGAACTAGAACAGATATTCCAAAATTTTAAATGGAACCACAAAAGACCCCGAATAGCAACAGCAATTTTGAGAAAGAAGAATAAAGTTGGAGGAATCACACTATCTAATATCAAACTATATTACAAGGCCATAGTAATCAAAACAGCATGGTACTGGCATTAAAAACAGACATATAGATCAATGGCACAGAATAGAGAGTCCAGAAATAAACCCACACCATATGGTCAATTAATATTTGACAATGGAGGCAAAAACATACAATGGGGGAAAAGATAGAATATTTAATAAATGGTTTGGGAAAGTTGAACATATACAAAAGAAAAAAAATGAAATTAGACCACCTTCTAATACCACAAACAAGAATAAACTCAAAATGGATTAAAGACTGGAATGTTAGACACAAAACCATAAAAATCCTAGAAGAAAACAGGCAGTAAAATCTCAGACATTTCTTGTAGCAATATATTTTTTTGATATATCTTTTTGGGCAAAGGAAACAAAAGAAAAACAAATGGGACTACATCAAACTAAAAAGTTTTTGCACAGTAAAGAAAACCATTAACCAAATGAAAACACAACCCACTGAATGGGAGAACATATTCACCATTACATCTGAGAAGGGCTTAATATCCAACATTTATAAAGAGCTTATAAAAGGCAAGACAGAAAAAAAAACAAGCAATCCAATTAAAAAATGGGCAAAGGACCTGAAAAGACACTTCATCAAAGAGAGCGTACAGATGACCAATAGACAGATAAAAAGATGCTCAATGTCACTAGTCATTAGAGAGAAATGCAAATTGAAACCACAATGAGATACCACCTCATATCTGTCAGAAGGGCGATCATCAATAAATCAACAAACAAGTGTTGGTGATGATGGCAGGTAGAGGGAGTGAACAAAAGAAAAGAAAAGAAAACTCCTTGACTTGGACAACAGTGTGGTCATTGCGAGGGAGAGGGGGATGGGTGGAGGAGGTGGATTAGGGTATAGGCATCTAAATGATGGTGGGGGAAAAAGGCCCACCTGAATAATCCAGGACAATCTTCTCAAGTGCCTTAATTTTATTACATCTGTAAAGATATCTTTTCCCAAATAATATAATATTCATAAATTCCAGAGATTAGGACATGGGTAATTTGGGCGGGGGGGTGGGGGGGTGGATTACCATTCAACTCACTAAAGGCCTTGATATTTTTTCTCATGAATTTAAAGGACTTTTATTTTGTTCTCTATAATGGCTAATTCACCTTTGTCATATTTGATAAAAATATTTTGGCAAATGGCAAAAAATATATATATTTCCAGAAAAAAAATGAAGAAGCCCAATAATAGAATTTTTGAGAGCAGTTTACAGACATCGACAACTAAATGCAGGCTTGAGAAGGATAAGGAGAGTCTTAGGAAAACTTCCCCTGTTAAACCTTTAGGTACGTCCTTAAATTCAAACTCGGTGACTAAAGTTCATGTTTCACAGAACTTCTATGATAACTATAAAAGAAAACATTAAGCAAAAGCCCAAAAACACATCCAGTTCTTATAAAGCCATGAAGTATTTGTCAGCTCTTAGTATCACCTTTGTAGATTAATGCAGATAGTTTTCCTGGGACTGCTGATCATTTACATATCATTACCTATTGTAGCTGCATGAAAACCTGTGGCCTTGAAGAAGCAAAACACAGAAGAATTTGGTTCTCTCCCTGTGGGGTGGCTGTGTGCAGGAGGATGCTGTCCCTTCCTGTGGGGCCGCTGTGGGGATGAGGACACAGTGCTGTGTGTGACAGCTGGCTGCAGGTCACAAAGGACAGCGAGAGTGTACAGGTAGCTGTGAGGGGCTGTGGTTTAGACCAAGGAGAGGTTCTGGAGAGGACGTGCAGTGGTCTTAGTGCAAGACAGACATGAACAGCAGCACGAAGCTGTGGCAGGGCAGCGCCCAGGGCAGCCACGTGCTGCCCATGTTCCGCGGCTCCATGGGGACGCTGCAGCAGCAGCTGTGCACGGGTGAGTTTGCCATGTTCAAGCACATTCTCATGTTTGAGAGCGACTTCATCCAGATCAACAAGAGAGGAGAAATGATCGATATGCACAACAGTGTGCGAATTGTCACGGTGGGCGTCGCATACACCAGCCCTAACCTCACGATACCTGACGTCCTGCTGCTGGCACGACCAGCTCTCAGCTGTGCTGTCTGCACCAAACACGAGCGGCACACCCGGGGAACGGGACTCAAGTCAGCAAAGACCTTAGAGCTGACCAGGCTGCTTCCTTTGAAGTTTGTAAGGTTGTCCATCTACAGTCATGAGAAAAAACAGCTCCAACTGAAGCTTGCCAGCGGCCACTCTTTTTACCTACAATTATGCCCCCCTCCAAATGCAAAAGAAGATGTGTTTGCACACTGGGAAGACTTGGTGCTCTTCCTGAGACCCCCAGTGGAGGCTTACAGTGGTACCCAGGCCGTACCAGCTTGTGACATGATGGACATACCTGTGTTGGAGGCAGAGGACAGGAACAGCCCCGCTGTAAGTTTTTGCAGAGACTCTTGGAGGGGGCCCAAGTGCTGGGGGAGGGCAACGGAAGGCCCTCGGGCTGCTCCCCTGGGCTGTGGGGAAACACTGCACGTGGAAGGGCTCAGGACAGATGAGCCACCACGCGGAGCCCTTGCCGCACTGGGGAGGCCCCGAGTACTTCTGAATACCCGAGGTCCCTTAGAGGTCAGGTCCTCTGACCCCATACCCAATGCTGCAGTGCTGTCAACAGCATCCTGACCATCCAGTCTGCTCTGGATCACCTACATATGGCTGTGGACTCAGGCAGTCTGATCTGTCGTGGGACATTTTTAACTATGAGAAAGCCCTTTCTTTATTTCAGCCATGAACTGATGTTTGCATGAACCTGCGGCATTTCAGCACGCTTTGCGTACAAGTATACAATGTGTTAGCAGCGTGCAGTGTCAGATGAGCATGGCTTTGACCGGCAGTCTCCCCCTAGAAACCTGTTTCGTAGAAATGCTGAGACAAGTGTATAAAGTAAAAGTGTGAGGATGCTCACTGGTGAACTGTACTAGTGCTCCCCCTGCCACAGGACCGTCCAAGCAAAGCTGCAGTCACCATTTTGGGAGCGCTGTAGGGCGGTTCCTGCAAACTCTGGGAGACTGGACTCGGTGATTTCAAAGTTTCTTCTAATGATAGGCTGTTGAAGACAGGTGACAGCCCTTTCTGGTTTCACTTATTCTCTTCTCTTCTTCCCTGTTTCTCCTCTCGGCACAGGCCATGGAGCTCCATGAAGGTGTCCAAGACCAGGTCAGCATCAGAAGCCTTCACGTAGTCACTGAGGTGTCTGGGATCACCTCTCTTGCTTATACTGGTGGGGAAGGAATTCAACAAGATGCTTCACAAAACTACCCTGTGCTTAAGGACACACCGTCTTTCCTAACCCTAGCACCGCTAGGGCCTGACCAGGGGACAGTCCCAGGGACAGCAGCAGTAACACCCCAAGGCAGTGTGGGTGCAGTTGCAGGAGAAGAGATGACCAGCAGACCTGTCACAGAGACCGTGGAAGGTCCAGGAACTGAGCCCTTACTCTCAGCCTCGCAGAGTAAAGACAATATGAGTAAACAGGATGGAGGCCAGACAGTTCCCCAGAGCCAGGCTAAAGCCCCTAGGAAGAGAAAGGAAAAGGAGAAAACTTCCACCATAAGGCCTTCCCAGTTTGGTAAGAAGGGGGAGGACAAGTCACCCCTAAAATCCCGTGGAACCACTAAAAGAGCTCAGAAGGAGAAATACCAGAGCAGCCCAGAGGGCCAAGAATGCGGCTCCTCCCCCCAGGAATACAACAGCCTCGGGGTCACCCAAAAGGGGACTAGATCTCAAAAACTGAGGAGGAGCTGAACTAGAAGTAGTTTGGGGGAGGGGCACCATAATCTGGAGATCTGTTCCCTCATCCCTCCCCCATTCTGCAGCTCCCACAGCCTAGGAGGGAACACTGTCTCCATTCCTGGAATGCGTTAAATCCACTACAGTGGATCTCCAGAGCCATGGGCCACCCACCCCTTTCAAGATGGGAAAACGGCTTTTCTGAAGTGGGTCAAGCCTTTCATTTCTTGAAACAAATAAGTGCCTGCTATATCCCTTAAAAAATAAAGAATTTATGAATTGGTCTGATATGGCCACAGACTAAGTCAGTCTGGCTCCACCCTTCCCTCTAAGTTGAAGTGGGCATGAGGTTCCTGGCGTATGCTTGGGTTATCTGGACAAGAAGATCAAGATGCTCAAAGAGTTTGGTGTGTTTGGAGCTATTACTGTGCATCAAATTGCCAATATGTCAAGCCTGCCAGTGTGTGAGAAGTGACTATGTCTGGAGTATCACATACTGCATGTCTGTAATAGCTTGTGTCCAGAGATTTCAGTGCGTTTAGAGTGTTCTGTTTGTCTTGATTACTTGTTTTTCTAACGATGTTGTTTGTCTGGCACAACCGTTTGTTTGAAGTGGTAGATCTGTCTTGGTGTGTAGAGAGTGGTATATTTGTTTGGATGCATTTTAGTGTTGGCCATGCTATTGAATTTACCACACTTCCCACATCCTAAAAAGTTTCAGTCATGGCCTGTCCTTCTAGCTGGTACTGTGACCCAAGGCAAACGTGGTGGGGGCTGCCGCTGGGATGCAATTTCTCAACGCTCCAGCATGGTCCTGGCACAGATGCCCAGGCCATCAGAAGCACCCCAGCCACACGAGATGGAGGCCATCACTACCTGTCATAACTATACCCTACCTGCCGCCATTCTGACTTGAACACTCAGTGTTCCCATAAGGGAAGACAGCCGTTCATTCGGCCCTAGAGAGTCTTACACTCTGGACTCTCACCCTCTCACTGCCCCTCTCTACCCGAGGCTGAAGGCTTCTAAACAGCTGTTGTCCCAATAGCTCCCTCCTGCCTTTGCATCCACAAACCGTGAGGGCTTCTATGAGGCTGGAAACGGGCTTACCCAGGGGGAGTACGGACACCAGCATTAGATCATTTAGGCTTTGCCCCAGGCCGTCCCATTGGAAGGCTGTCTGACCCTAAAAGCTACATTTAACCTCTCCGAACGTTAGGGATGATAATAATAATACCACCAGGGTGTTGTAAAGGCTCAATCAGTCTCCAGTTCAATTCAATTAGTCACAATGCACAGTTCCCGAGATCCTTAGGTGCCGCTGGAGGCCCATTCAAGCACACGGGTTGTTCAGAAGCCAGACGACTTGGTTTCAGCCGGTGTCAGGAGATCCGGTTCCTTCCGAGCCCTGCGTGGGGCATCACGGAATGTCAACCGAAGGTCGTTGGCGCCAATTCCTGACCGACAGGAATCCCCGATTTGGGATGCGGTGAAGAAGGAAAGTGGATTTAGTGCAAACAGCTGACGGCGGTGAGCGGCCCTGGGGCCAGGCCCCTGTCCAGGGAGCACTCTGCTCCCCACGTCACTCTGCTGCAGCGACGTGGTCAGTGTTTCAGCTCCAGCCGGGGAAGCGCGGCCACCAGTCTTCTCTCCTCCCTGCACAGCGCACTCGGGGTCGTCCCAGAGCAGGGGAAGCAGTCATTCTGCTCGGCATGTTTCTTTCCCCTCTACCTGGAATTTTTTCATTCCTTACTTTTTTAAAATTTGAAAATAGGCCATGGGCACCTGTTCAATAACAGATATTGAACTAGTGTTTGGGAAACACAATCAATAATAAGCCAGATCATAGTCTAAAACAGTGGTATCCATAAACTTCATGGCATTAGCCCTTAGAACTTGTGAGAAATGCAACATCGGGCCCCAACCATCACCAATAAGCTGTGTTTTAACAACCGCTCCGGTGATTCTGGCTGACACTAAGGTTTGAGAACCACTGGTCTAAGCAAAGTAAGAAAACCAAATAGATTTACAAAACATTTTGATACAGTGAATAAGAGTTACGTATAAATTCCTACCGGAGAAGTTTCTAATCTCTTCTACTTTTTTGTTTAGAATACACGTGCTTTATCTAAAATGCATATATGTCCTTGGCCTGTTTCCCTTGCACAAATCATTTTGCTGCTCTTTATTGCCTGCGGTACACATTTCGAGATGCCTAGTATGCCATTTGAGGAGTTCCAGGATTTGGCCCCTGTCTCTCTCCCGTCTCATCTCTTGCCAATCCATCAACATTGTACAACTTGTTGTAAAAATGAGCACACACATGAACACACCGTACTATTTTTACCTCTCCTCTTTCCAGAATATCTTTTCCTCATGCTCCTCTACAACACTGGACAAAATAAGGACTCCGCTAAGGAGACATTTCCTATGGTAAGGTTTTCCTAACTCTCTAAGGCCATCACAGCAGCTGAGGATAACTCACTGAATTCATCACATGGCATGGTTGCTGCATTTATCTGCCCATGTCTGCCACCTGTCAGTTTCTGCAAACAAGAATGTTTTGCATCCATTTTTGTGTTTTAATGTCAATACAGTGCCTACGGCTTATAGAAGTATATAAAGTATTTAGAAGTATAAAATAGAAGTAGAAAAGGTATTTAATGGATGCATATAAAGGGAGGAATATATTTCTTCTGTAACAAGTTTCTGTGTGACATGGTTCGCCACTCAGGTAAGTGTATTCTTGTCCCTCAACTGTGGAATTATTAGGATAGTCCATAGATTTGGAAGTTTCTATGTCTTCCAAGCTTTTTTAATGCCAGGTTGTTGAAAAATTACTGAAAAACATTTCAAGATACGAATTTCATGTGGACAGATGAAGTAAAAATGGACTCTAATGAGAAAGTAGATGTTTCAATAAAAATTAAAAAGTTACCGTTGCTCAAAATTTCAAAAAAAATAATTAATAACAAAATAAAATAAGAATTTCAAATATTCTTAATGATATTGATGGCAAGAATGTTTTATAACTTTGGTTGGATTTTTTCTGTGGATATCTGATAAATGCTCTCTTCTCAGTTGTCAGAAGATGTTGCCCGGATTAGAGGACTGTCCTTGTCAGGAATGGCCACTGTTAAGTGACTCCCTCCCCATCTTGTCATGTTCTACCAAGTTTAGGGTTCTGTGAAAGTCAACAACTTTGTCTCTGTCATTTTATTGAATATTTATTCAAAGATTTATGGATACCTACTATGTGCTAGGTGCTAGAGGTAGAAGGTAGAATGCTACAATAAAAATAACATGTATGGGGAACTTTTGTGATAAGCTTTGGGTATACTATAGCCATACTCTGAGTGTTAGTTCTATCCATCCCCATGAGGCTGGGACCACAATATCCTTGTTAAAAAAAAGATTAAGATAATATTTTCTCTAATCATTATTTAATATAATTATTATTCTTGGCCCTGTTCTAAGTTCCATGCCAACGTGGTTAAATATGTTTAACACTATTCTTATAGATGCCTTTGTCATTATGTACAAACTGTGGAATGCCTAGTAATCAGATCTCACTATAAGAGTGGAAACCTCTAGAGGTAGATGCCATCCATTCCTAGAAACCTTGTGCAAAGAACTCGTGTTACTCTGCTCTATCGTGTATGAGCAGTGACTTTAAAAAAACATTTAGTTGATTAAATACCACAAATTGCTTCAATTCAATTCTCATACCATTCATTTATTCCACAAATGTTGATTAAGCAACTACTATATACAAGGTATGTCTAGGCCTTGGAACTATATAGAGAAGGAGATAGGGTTTCTCTCCTTGGAGAGATTTCATCAAATGGACAAAGATAAATAAGGACAAAAAAAATGGATAAGTAATTACTATACAGAGTGATAAGTGTCTTGGGAGCAATAGACACAGAGTATTATGGAGACACAATGGAAGGACACATAACCTAGACTTAGGGCTGGAGGAAAGTTACAAATGGATTCCTAGAAAAATAATAAAGCCAATACTTTCCACTAAAGGACCCATGGGTGTTGTGCTAAGGGAGGAGAAGATGTTTTCTGTGTGAATGGAATTGTGTACAAAAATCTGGATGCCAAAAGTCACACTCACAATGCACGTGGGGAAAAGCGAGGTAGAAGGATATGCTGGAGATCTCTTGTTTCACAAGTTCAAACCCTGCCTAAGAAGGGATTGAAGGGATTTCAGCGAGAGAATGGCAGGTGTGAGTTTTATAAAAGTTCCTCTGGTTGTTATATGGAAAATCAAAGGGATAAAATAAATACTTGAAAGCAGGGCGGCCCATTAAGTGGTTACGGCCCTAATCCGGCAGCAGGTGACGTTGACCTAGGCTAGAGGCACTGGTATTAAGAGAGGTGGGCGGACTGGAAAGGTATCTAAGAGTTGGAATTGACAGGGCTTGGTGATGGAGTGTCGATGGGGGAGGAATTGAGGTAATATCCAGACTTCTGACTTAGCTTTCATCAGGCTAGGGAACCAAGAGGACGGCTGCTTTTCAGAGAGGAATATGTGAGTACAAGGACAGAAAACAAGCTTTTCTTTTTTTATGCTTTTCTCCACAATTTATGAGAAGCATCTGGTAATTAAACACGGAGACTGCTGGTGTCTGCATCTTCAAACCACCTTTCTGTCCAACTGAAAGAGGCAGGAAGGATATTAGAATTGATAGAAAATATTAGAAGAGTAAGAAAATTAATCGTAGTGGGGCACTAGCCATAGTTCCTTTACAATGTTGGTTGTGATTGCCTTGTTCTGATTGAGGAAAAGCCCACTCTGACCTGGCAGGGAGGTGTGCACCCCGGGGGGCTTACCTCGAGAATGCTGTCCATTCTCCTCATCTGAGGACACGGGGGACTGACTACCTGACATCATGGGAAGATAAACAACCTGATGATGGTAACACTGGACCCTGGACCCGTGACTGACTCATGGTCTACATGCCTTCTCTCCTTTTCCCCTCTTAGTTCCCTAACCTGATTTT